TCCCTTCCAACTTTATTATTAAGTGTCTCCTTCCTTCTCTTCCCACCCCTGTTTTAAGGAATGCAGCTTTATTGGCAACTCTACCATACTGATGCTGGGGAGAAGAAGGCTCAAAGGGAGGAGAGGATGACAGCAGGCTAAGTAGCCTGCTCTTCCATGCATTTGTACTGCCTGTCTCTAGAAAACGCACAATCTAGATTTTTCTGTTAACAGACAAATCATCCACTTTAGTATAAACTAGACAACTCTGTGACTCGGTTAGCTCATCCTTTGGGAGAAAGATAGTGCAGTCTGATGTTGCCAGAATGAACGTTAAGTATGAGGCTGACCAATATTTAAACATTAAAAAACATTAAATATTTTCACACCAACGTTGGATGGTCATGTGATGGTCTAAAACGGTGTTTCTCAACCTTGACCATTTTAAGGCATGTGGACTTCAACTCCCAGAATTCCACAGCCAGCATTGCTGGCTGTGGAATTCTGGGAGTTGAAGTCCACATGCCTTAAAATGGTCAAGGTTGAGAAACACTGGTCTAAAAAGAGCATATATCAGTGATGGCGAACCTTTTAGAGACTGAGTGCCCAAAAACCACCCCGCCTGGCCGCAGGGCCACTCACCGCCTCCACAGCCTGCCACATATCACCCAGGCAGCGCCAAGGCGGCCACACCCTCCACCCGTACCTCGCAGCATCATCTGCACATGACGGGTGCAAGGGAGGGTCTTGTCCCCACTGCCTGGCTGCCATGTCCTTGGCCGCACTGGTCCGCACGGACCACGCTTGGGGGGGTGACTCTCCTCTGGGGGGCTGCTGGTAAGGAGGGGGCCACTGGGGGAGGCTGCGCTGGGACGACACGTGTGCCCACAGAGAGGGCTCTGAGTGCCGCCTCTGGCATGCATGCCATAGGTTCGCCACCACTGGTATATATCATAAGTAGAAAAAATAATTATGGGGGCAAACAAACCTCAGTAAGTTCATATTTACTTATCTAAACAGATAACCGGAATGAATAGAATAGAATAGAGCTGGAAGGGACCTTGGAGGTCTTCTAGTCCAGTCCCCAGGGGCTCAAGCAGGAGAACCTACACTTGTGGTGGCGAACCCATGGCACGCATGCCACAGGTGGCACGCAGAGCCCTTTCTGTGGGCACGCACGCCGTCGCCCCAATCCTGGGCCTTCAGCTGGGTTTTATAAAACCTTTTCGCTTTAGGCCTCTGCCACCATGTGCAAAAAAAAAAGGTTCAATCAATCAATCAATTTCAACTTCTTGCGGGGAAAAAAATCGCAAAATTGGAATTGATTGAACTTTTTAGTCCCACCCAGTCTGCCATTATCACGCAGCCACGCCCACCCAATGGGCCACACCCATCCAATGCGCCACACCCACCCAGCACCCAACAATACATAACTGGGTTTTGGGTTGCAGTTTGGGCACTCGGTCTCTAAAAGGTTCGCCATCACTGACCTACACCGTCTCAAAAAAGCAATGAGAGTCGGAGCAATTTCCAACTTCCCACTGGCTTCCCCAGTGACTCTGCTTGTGGGAAGCTGGCAGAGAATACTGGGAATCACAATCATGTCACTGCAGGGACACAGTAATTGGCCACTATTTTCAGTTTCAGTTCCATAGAGTAATGGATCCCGGATATTTTACACCAGAGGTTCTTAACCTGTGGGTCAGGACCCCATTTGGGGTCGAACGACCATTTCACGGGGGTCGCCAAACAACATAGTCTGCCATTTTTTCCCCTTTTCCTTAGCTGTGCTACTCCCTTTTATTCTATTGGCTTTTGAAAGCCAATAGAAGAGACTCTCTTGAATAGAGTCTAATTCTATTGGCTTTCAAAAGCCAATAGGAATTGTCCAGGCTGTCTCTGCCCTGCTGAGCCCGCCAAAAGTCCCATTCTGCAAACGGTGCTGCACCAGTTGAGTAGTCCTCGACTTACAACCGGTTGAGTAGTCCTCGACTTACGACCGGTTGGGGGGTCACGGCATTAAAAAGGTTGAGAACCACTGTTTTACACATTCTTTATGCTAGCAAATTTAGGTATCTTGATTCAAAAACTGTTACGGTATAATGAATGCACTGTATGGGCTAACCTGAGAGTACAAGCAGACAAACACAATGAGAGTAGCGACAAATAAGCAAGCATTGTACTAAGCACCTGTATAGCTGGTCTGACTGAGCCAACTCTTAAAACACATTCTGGTAGGTGACCAGACAGGTTTCAGAACTGGACACTCAGTTTTTTTTGACCATACTCTTATCTTGCAACTTCTGACAGAAAACACTTTTTTCCAAGCCAGGTCTTGCATTCTAAACTGCACTTATGGATTTCAGATCTGCATTCAAGCTCATCGCCAGAACAACAGCTGTAACAGATGTAGGGCAAATACCAGCCAGATTAAAATGAGCTTTCTCAGCCTCTTGAAAGTAATTATGCTAAAATTAAGATCCTAATTTTTACTTACCTCAGCTTAATAAAATGTCTGCCGATTAAATGGTCAGAGGCTCGGCAAGTTAAAATCTTTAAATACTTGGAATAGCTTTTCATGGCTCCATCAAATGTAAGGCAGGTGAAACGTATATAGATTACATGCACAAAATTAGCAGCAGGAATGTAATCCCTCCCACTTGACACAAAGGCATATGTAGCATACAAAAGCAATCAAGTTATAGTTAGCTATCATGGGTATTGAAAAACAATGACATTCCCAGAATGTCAACAAATACCAACAGCAGAGAAAGCTTTATGTAACTCTTATTATTTTGAACTTTCATTATCTGACAAAAAAAAGTAGAGGGATGGCGTAAGGCAATGTTTCTCAACCTTGACAATTTTAAAGCATGTGGACTTCAACTCCCAGAATTCCACAGCCAGCATTGCTGGCTGTGGAATTCTGGGAGTTGAAGTCCACATGCCTTAAAATTGTCAAGGTTGAGAAACACTGGCGTAAGGTGAAGAAGCATATATTTTAAAGGGGTCTATAAACTTTTCTCTGGGGCTTAATTAAGACCATATCAGTCCTTGCTCTTCTGCAGAGTTCAGTTCTTAAGGACTATATCCATGTACTGAAAATGTTACTTAGGAGGCATAAAGTGTAAACTGATTCTTAGTGTTCTCTGTGCTTGGATATTTTCCTGTACATTTTGTTACCAGGCTAGGGAACATTATCCGTTCGTGAATGGATAATGAAACTTCTGTAGGAAAACAACCAAGCTCAGAGAACACTAAGAATCCAAAAGTGTAAGTAAGCACATTAAGTTGTATTCCCCACTGGCTAAAATTACTGTTGTTTTACCAATGAGCTAGGTTCTTTGTGTCAGATAATTACAAATCAACATGGAAAAGATCGTCCTTACAAAAACTGCACCACTATGTTTCTTCAAAGAGATTATTCTGATGACGGGTTATGTGATTATTGTGCTGAAACAACGCACTAGACTAGAAGCTTGGAAAACCATTTGGACCACTCTGGCCTAGAGTTCTCAAACTCCTTTGTCATATACAGATCAAGTAATCAGCAGGTTTTAATCCCCTCCCCATAGTCATTCTTGAGGGGAAATGTAAAAAACGATTTCATCTAAAATAAGATTGTGCACTTTAAGAGGAAGCCGACTGAATCAGTTGCATTTTATAAGAATGGACTCATTCATTTCATAAAGAAACAATTAGGGGAATTCCACTGGTTCACAGGTGTTATAGAGTGGCACAATGTCCAAAAAATAATAACAGAGCCATTTTGATATACAGCAGTACAGTAGTTAAGGTGCTGGTCTAAGGAACCTGGAGACTGTGAGTTCTAGTCCCACCTTAGCCATGAAAGCCAACTGGATGTCTTTGGGCAAATCACCAGGAGATAGTGAATTCTAGTCCCGCCTTAGCCATGAAAGCCAGATGGGTGGCTTTGGGCCAATCACCAGGAGACGGTGAGTTCTACTCCCGCCTTAGCCATGAAAGCCAGATGGGTGACTTTGGGCCAATCACCAGGAGACGGTGAGTTCTAGTCCCACCTTAGGCATGAAAGTCAGATGGGTGACTTTGGGCCAATCACCAGGAGACGGTGAGTTCTACTCCCGCCTTAGCCATGAAAGCCAGATGGCTGATTTTGGGCCAATCACCAGGAGACGGTGAATTCTAGTCCCACCTTAGCCATGAAAGTCAGATGCTAACTTTGGGCCAATCACCAGGAGACAGTGAGTTCTAGTTCCACCTTAGCCATGAAACCCAATTAGGTGACTTTGGGCCAATCATCAGGAGACAGTGAGTTCTATCCTGCCTTAGCCATGAAAGCCAGATGGATGACTTTGGTCCAATAACCAGAAGACAGTGAATTCTAGTTCTGCCTTAGCCATGAAAACTGGCTGAGTGACTTTGGGTCAGTCTCTCTCTCGCTCGCTCTCAGCCCCTCACAGGCTTGTTGTAAGGAAAATAGCAGGAGGAAGGAGTATTGGATATAGTAATAATAGTAATAAATAGTAATAAATAATATTACTATTACAGGGAAGAGGGAGAGGGAGAAGAAGAAGGAGAAGAGGAGAAGAGGGAGAAGAGGGAGAAGAGGAAGAGAAGAGAAGGAGAAGAGAAGGAGAAGAGAAGAAGAGAAGAGAAGAAGAGAAGAAGAAGAAGAAGAAGAAGAAGAAGAAGAAGAAGAAGAAGAAGAAGAAGAAGAAGAAGAAGAAGAAGAAGAAGAAGAAGAAGAAGAAGAAGAAGAAGAAGAAGAAGAAGAAGAAGAAGAAGAAGAAGAAGAGAGATAAATAGATCTAACAAATGTATAAAAGCTTGAGTGGCGCTCGACCCCCAGACACCCGGAAGACGCCAAACCGGACCGCAGCTGGAAAAGGAGCGTGCACGCATGCGCGTGATTCCAGGGAGCGAGCCCCCCTCCACAGGCCCCGCCCCCTCTCACGTGCGCGCTTCCCGCAGCTCGTTAACCCTTTCCCTCCCCGCTTTTCCTTTTCAAGGGCCGCAGCAACAGCAGCAGCACAACCGACCTGCTGAGACGGCAGCTCCACATGCAATGAGCGGGAGGTCGAACCCGGCGGGGGCAGGACAGCAGCGGCTTGGCTCATGCTGACGGCGACCCGGCGGCGGCCCGGCGGGCTCGGGAGCAGGAGAGGCCTTGGCGCGTGCGCATTGAGACCGCTGCCGCCGCCGCCGCCGCCGGCGGATTCGGAAGAGTTAAGGGTGACGACGAGGCCCCCAAAGGGTCCCGGCGGCCGCCTCAGGGGCTTCTTTTAAAGTCTCCAGCTCGCTTTTTCCGGGAGCTCCGAAAGGACTCCAGGCCTCCCGCGCTTCTTCGCGAAGAAGCCCTGTTATTTTCAATACGGCTGAGGCGACCAGAAGACGGAACGACGGAAACACGCCGCCCGCTGATTGGCCCGACAGGGAGGAAGGCGGGCTTCCCCGTTGCGGTCGCGCGAACTCATTGGTCCTTCCGCACGTCGGCCCAACCGAACGTCCCGTCTTCTGAGGTGCTTTCATACGTGTGCGTGTGTATTTGGAAACACCGCCTCTATGGACAGCAAACTCGTATCTCGCCCCTCATTGGTCGGCGTGCTCCTGACAAGGGGCGGGCCTTAATATATAAGACGCCCTTCGCGATTGGACAGACGGATGAAACTAGGTGAAGGGTTGGGAAGCCGAGGACAGGTGTCACGTGGTTGTGTTTTGTCACGTGAGGAAAGCAACTCGGAGGGAGGGGGAGCGCATCTCCATAGCAACAGATGAAGGAGGTCGGGCCCAGCCTGACTAGAGGGATGCTATCACCCATCATGCATTTCGTTGCCTCTAGGGAATTAAAATGTTTGTGGCTTTTCTGCAGGCACCACAAAGAACTTTTGTTAATGTCATAAATGCACAATGAATAAAGATGGGCTCTGTTGGCTTCTGTTTATTTTTAAAGCAGCTTCATCTCATAACTCTTGGTGATTTGGTGCAAGAAAAAAATACCCTGAAATTAAAATACAGCTTAAATCAGGGATGATGATATCACAAGAATAAAACCCAGGAAAAGAAATACAGAAGCAAACTTTCACTCATGAAATCCCTGGTTATTGTAAAAAGCAGAAACATTGAATCAAGCCTGTTGATTTACAAAGAGAGCTCAATGGAGGTAATAGACAGACTAAAGGGGGTAAAATTAATTACATTTGTTTGACAGGATTAAGAGCAAGGAAGGCAGTATTTTAGTCCCACTGCTGACCTTTGTGAAACAAGCTAAACAAATCTAATCACAAAAGTACACAAAGCAAGCCTCCAATTTACAAAATTCTGTAAAACTGTATAAAAATCCTTGTACTCATCAAATCGGGATCAGGTGCTCCAGAGCCACGTGCTGTTGGGGTTCTGCTCTTCAATAAACTAGAACCTTCTTTCTAAAGCAGTCTCCATTTTGTTTATTGCTGGCTTGGACTGGATCCTGAAGATTTTTCTTCCAACAACAGTTAATCCTCAAAGCCCTCCAAAATAATTTAAATAATAATAACTAGGTAACTCATGCCACTTTAGGTTATCATTTCAGAGATATTCCCTTATCAGATTCTGTAATGCCTTCAACAGTGACGGTAAAGTAGAATAATATAGAATAATGTGGAATAGATACATTATTTTAATGATTTTTTATTATTATTATTCCACATTATTCTATATTATTCTACTTTAACGGAGTATCTAATGTACTGCCTTTCCTGAAAAAGTTGAGATGTCTTCAGAGGTGTATCTGCCTTGAAAATAGCCGCTGTTGAATTGTACAGGTAATCCCGGATTTACAACCATTTGTTTAGTGACCTTTAGTCACTAAACTTTAAACTTTAGTGACTATAATGGTATAGAATCTGGACTGGGCGGGACTAGAAGACCGCCAAGGTGCCTTCCAGCTCTATTCTGATTCTTTCAGTTAACAACGGCACTGAAAAAAAGCGACACGATCATTTTTCACACTTGCAGCATCCCCATTGGTCACGTGATCAAAATTCAGACACTTGGCAACTGTCTCATATTTATGACGGTTGCAGTGTCCCCGGGTCACGTGATCCCCTTTTGTGACTTCTGACAAGCAAAGTTAATGGAGAAGCCAGATTCACTTAACAACTGCATTACTAACTTAACAGTGGTTCACTTAACAACTGTGGCCAGATAGGTTGTAAAATGAGGCAAAATTCACTTAACTGTCTTGTTTACAAACAGAAATTTGGGGGTCAATTGTGGTCTTAAGTCGAGGACTATATAGCCTAATAAATAAAGCAAAATAAATATTAGATATGGTCTTATTGGGGCATTGGGTTGACCAAACCACCTGAAGGCAGCACCTGCTTATATATTATATTATTAAGGAGATTTTCAAGGAGCACTTCTCACAGTTCAGTCCTGGCTATTCAGTCTTATGTACAGTATATACTTTTCTAGCTCCATCTTCTCAATTTTTAAATCACAATTCTTTCTTAAAGTGGCTGGATTAATGACCAATGCAGAAACCTGTGGTTAAAAAAAGTAAATAAAGGCTGGGCTAAGAGGAAACCAAGAATGCTGAAGTTGGATAGAACTGATAAAAGCCCCCCCCCCCAAAATTAGAATGCTTAAAGAACAATGTATGAAGTGATATATTGACGAAACTGAAAAAAGAGATGGATGGAAAACTATGGTGAGATATAATAAATTCTGTTGGTGTAAACTCAATTTAGGCATCTTTATTTTTCCGTACCTTTGGTTTCTGGCTTCTCACTTTTCTGCACTCTGCAGAATGTCGTTTACAGGCCAAACCTCTCAAGAACGAATCCAGGAAAAGAACAAGCAGTAAACCAGTGTATTTTTGTTTCACGTTTATTTCTATAAATTTATACAAAATCTTCCCGCCCAACCCCCCCATGTTCAGTCTACTCCATGAAATGTCTACAGACTGCAGCCGTCTTATTTTTTATAAATGAATATATGTGTAGCACGATCAGGATCGGAGAACATTAGAAATTAATTAAGCCCCTGGCTTTTTGCATTACACCAGTGTCTTTCAAACTTGACTTTTAAGATGACTACATTTAAACTTTCAGAATTCTCCAGCCACCATGCTGGTTGGGGAATTCTGTGAGTTGAAGTTCAGACACCTTGAAGTGGACAAGTTTGAAAAAAAAAAAACCTGAATTACACAAAGGCACATGTATAGCTTCAGTCATTATTGGCAATTAAAATACTTGAAGGCTAAGGGTTAAACATACAATAGTGCAAAACATTTAAACATATATTAACATGTCAGCGTGATTGGCTCTGAATATATTTCTCTACAAAGCTTCAGTCAACGTGTAAACATTTAGAAATAGGAAATACATTACGCCGGATAACTAGCGCATATATATCAATCATAGAATAGAGTAGAATAGAATAGAATGGAATAGAATAGAAAATATGGAATGGAGTAGAGTAGGAGTAGGAATAAGAGTAGGGCTGGAAGGAAACTTGGAGGTCTTGAGGTCTAACCCGTTGCTCAGAGCAGAAAATCTCCTATCAGCATTTCTGCATTCTTTTGAAAAATTATACAAAACCTGCTCCTTTTCCTCTTAACAATGCCAAAATGAAGCGTTTGGTTTACGTCCAGCTTCTGAAAACCCTGCACATGATTTAGAACAATAAAAGCATGGGGCTGGGGGGGACTTGGGAGGTCTTCTAGTCCAACCTCCTGCTCAAGGCAGGAGACCTTATCTACCATCCTGGTCAAATGGTTGTCCAGTCTGTTTTGGGAAATCTCCAGTGATGGAGCACCCAGAATTTCCGGAGCGAAGCTGTTCCACTGATGAGATGGTTCCGTCAGGAAATTTCTCCTTAGGTCTAGGTTGCATCTCTGCTTAACGAGCTTCCACCCGTTGCTTCTTGTCCTGCCTTCTGGTGCTTTGAAGAACGAGTCCGTTGAGGGACTTGTTCTCCAATTTTGGAGAACACTTAGGGCTTAGTAAGTACTCCTCGTCAATAAAGCATGGCTAAACCATCTACTGTTTTAGCGTACGTTAACCTCATCACATTGGGGCCCGGAGTTCAGAGGTGGAAGGGGCTAAGCCAAGGGTAGGCAACCTTGGCTCTTTTATGACTCATGGACTTCAACTCCCAGAATTCCTGAGCCAGGATGGGGAAAACTTTGGCCCCTTCATGACTTGTGGACTTCAACTCCCAGAATTCCTCAGCCAGCATGGGGGAACTATGGCCCCTTCATGACTGGTGGACTTCAACTCCCAGAATTCCTCAGCCAGCATGAGGGAACTATGGCCACTTCATGACTTGTGGACTGCAACTCCCAGAATTCCTGAGCCAGCATGGCTCAGCTTGGAAACCTCTCCCTTTCCCCTCAGCATGCCTGGCTCAGGAATTCTGGGAGTTGAAGTCCACCAGTCATGAAGGGGCCAAAGTTGCCTACCCCTGGGCTAACCAAACTGAGCAAAATGGGAGAAAGAGAGATGCCGAGAAGAAATTGTAGGCACCAGAGGTTTTAAGAGCAAAGGTGCAAAAGGAGGTAAAAGAAATATTATTGAGATGTGTAGGATGGGCAAAGCTTTGCAGGAGGTCCCAAAAAAAAACTCCAGTAAAAGCAAGGACAAATGCAGAGATTTCAGGCAAAACTCAACCTATCAAAAAATCTCCACCATGTCTGTGCATCCAAAACAGAAGCATTTCCCCCACACAAAACAGGTTTGGCACCCACACCCTTCACCCACCCACCGTCCCCTGTACAAAAGTTTTTCTCCCGGGCATTTATATACAGTAGAGTTTGCCCAACACCCCAAACCATCAGCAAACTCAACAAGCTGGGTTCGCACAACTCATAAAACCTCGGTTTGTTTGTTTGTTTTTTAAAAAGCTTAGCATCTTGTGTGAAGGCAACCAAGTGGTCTGGAACTGATTAGATCCAGCAGCTCTAGAACATAGCTGAGATTCAAGCCACCCTCATAGGGATGAAGTGCCGTGGTAGCTTTAGGTGGGTTGGACCAGCTTCCATCCTATCTATTCTGAACACTTGAAATTCCAGATGCGCAGAGATCCCTAAGATAGAAAGAGTACTGGCAATCCTCAACTTAACAGCCATTCGTTTAAGTGACCGTTCAAAGTCACAACGGCACTGGAAAAAAAGTGACCCAGGACCGTTTTTCATCCTTGACAACCGTTGCAGCCTCCCCAGGGCCACGTGATCAAAATTCAAAAGCTTGGCAACTGGCATGTACTTATGACAGTTGCAGTGTCCTTCAGGCAAGCAAAGTCAATGGGGAAGCCAGATTCATCTCACCACTGTGTGGCTAACTTAACCACTGCTGCGATTCACTTCACAACTGTGGCAGGAGTCTCTCTGAGCAACAGAAATTTGGGGCTCAATTGCCGTCGTAGGTCGAGGACTCCCTGTATTAGAAGGATCAACACGAGAGAACGTGCGATTCCAAACTAAATGCAGAAGGACCCGGGCTGTCAGTGACAATCAATGTTTCTCCTCCCCCCCTCCATTTCTTATCCATTTCCCTGTTTTTTTCATGCTTAGGAGAAACTACGGCATGTCCCAAGTGAAAGGTGGAGTTCCAGTTTTGTGTAGAGAAGGTCTCCATTCACCACTCTTGCAGAGATAGAATATAGTAGAGCTGGAAGGGACCTTGGAGGTCTTCTAGTCCAGCCCCCTGCTCAGGCAGGAAATCTATACCAAATAGAATAGAATAGAATAGAATAGAATAGAATAGAATAGAATAGAATAGAATAGAGTAGGGTAGGGTAGGGTAGGGTAGGGTAGGGTAGGGTAGGGTAGGGTAGGGTAGGGTAGGGTAGAGTAGAGTAGAGTAGAGTAGAGTAGAGTAGAAATAGAAATATGGAATGGAATGGAATGGAATGGAATGGAATGGAATAGAATAGAATAGAATAGAATAGAATAGAATAGAATAGAATAGAATAGAATAGAATAGAATAGAATAGGAATAGAATAGAAATAGAATAGATAGAAATAGAAATATGGAATGGAATGGAATGGAATAGAATAGAATAGAATAGAATAGAATAGAATAGAATAGAATAGAATAGAATAGAAGAATGGAATGGAATGGAATGGAATGGAATGGAATGGAATAGAATAGAATAGAAATAGAATAGATAGAAATATGGAATGGAATAGAATAGAATAGAATAGAATAGAATAGAATGGAATGGAATGGAATGGAATAGAATAGAATAGAATAGAAATCTAGAAGGGACCTTGGAGATCTTCTAGTCCAGCCCCCTGCTCAAGCAGGAGGACCTATACCATCTCAGACAAGTGACTGTCTAGCCTCTTCTTAAAAACCTCCAGTAATGGAGCACCCACGATTTCTGAAGGCAAGCTGTTCCCCTGGTTATCTTCACTGTCAGGAAGTTTCTCCTTAATTCCAGGTTGCTTGTCTCTTTGGTCAGTTTCCATCCGTTGCTTCTCGTCCTGCCCTCTGGTACCTTGGAGAATAATTTGACCCCCTCTTCTTTGTGGTAGCCCCTCAAATACCGGAATATTGCTATCGTGTCACCCCTATTTCTCCTCTTCTTTAGACTAGCCAAACCCCAAATCCCGCAGCCGTTCTTCCTATGTTTTAGTCTCCAGGCCTTGGATCCTCTTAGTTGCTCTTCTCTGAACTTTTTCCAAAGTCCTGACATCTTTTTTGTAGTAGGGTGACCAAAACTGGCTGCAGTATTCCAGGTGTAGTATTCCAGGTGTGGTATTATCGGGGTTTTGTAAAGCGGTACTAATACTTCGCGTGCTCTTGATTCTATGCCTCTGTTTATACAACCCAGGATTGTAATGGCTTTTTTGGTGGCCTCGAACTGGCCTAAAGATGGCTGGCTTTCTTCTCACTGCTCTTAACCAGGGAAATCTGGGTGTCCCTGAAGAGCAGCAGAGGGAAAAGCAAATGGCGGACCGTGGACACTTGAGGTGGGATGAGGGGATTCATTTACCTCTGTAATGGGGCAACACAGCTCTGTCACACTGGCTCTAGAGAGATCTAATATTTGAATTTTTTTTTTTAAGACAATATTCCTTTATCTTCTCTACAGATCCATGCTCCTTTCACCCCAATTCCACAGAGCAGAATACAAAACAATAGGACTGGCAGAAAGAGTCTCTTTTGGCACCGGTTTCCAAGCCCACCAGCAAATTAAGACCCGTCGCATGGTCGCCGTTCAGTTGATCTCCAACGTCTCCTTCTCTGTCAGGCCAAATTTCGCCTTGTACTTGTCAAAGAGCTTCACCAGAGACTGTACGTACAGGTTGTGATAAAAGTCTATTTCCTTCTGACTCGGATTGTCGGTTTTCGGGACTGTGATGGGCTCACCAACTGGAATACAAAAGAGAGAAAGGGATGTGACAGGTGATGGAAAGATAGGTTAGCCCAGGGCTTTTCCAACTTGGCCCTTTTATGACTTGTGGACTTCAACTCCCAGAATTCCTGAGCCAGCATGAGGGAACTATGGCCCCTTCATGACTTATGGACTTCAATTCCCAGAATTCCTCAGCCAGCATGGGGGAACTATGGCCCCTTCATGACTTGTGAACTTCAACTCCCAGAATTCCTTAGCCAGCGTGCCTGGCTAAGGAATTCTGGGAGTTGAAGTCCACAAGTCATAAAAGGGCCAAGTTGGAAGAACCCTCGGTTAGCCCCTAAAGTGAGGTGCTCTCTATTTATAATCCAGACGCTGCTAGAATTCCACTAGAATATGAACAAATCCCCATGTCCTACTAGCATTGATGAGTTTACCTAGTTTGGTAATCAAACGTCTGCAAGAAAACAGCCAAGCTCAGAGAACAGCAAAACCCTTACAGTCATTCTCCTCCTCCTCCTCCTCCTCCATTTTGCAAACCCCACTTCTTTCTAGCACTGATGATGTTACCTAGCTTGGTAATGAAACGTCTGCAAGAAAATAGCCAAGCTCAGAGAGCATCAAGGACTCCACAGTAGTCGTCGTCGTCCTCCTCCTCCTCCTCCTCCTTCTTTCTCCTTCTCCACAAACCCCTGTCCCTTATAGTACTGATGATGTTACCTAGTTTGGTAATGAAAAGTCCCCAAGAAAGCCACCAAGCTCAGAGAGCACCAAGGACCCCACAGTTCAAACCCTGAGCCTACCAATATTCTCCTCTATCGGCAACGGGAGTGTCCCTTTTCCAACTTACCGACGGTAGTGATGGGCCTGGCATAAGGCACCAACCCCCAGCTGTTGGAGGAGAAGACCCCTCGTCCGTGGAAGACGCAGGGAGCCACGCCGCTATACTTCTGCAATTTTTTCTGCACCCATCTGCACCAGGTTCCCTCTTCAAAAATGATCTGCTTGAAGACTTCGTTCTCCCCAACGAGTAAATGGGGACCAGGTCTGCCCTGAGGAAGAAAATGCAAACCAACATCAGAATTGCCAAGAAACAGCAGTGGCAACATCCCTGAGGTCTTGTGCAACCAGGAAGATTTTTTTTAAAAAAAAAAAATTGTAGCCCACTGTTCTTATTTTTACAAATTACTCAAGGAAGCGCACCTATACGACACACCTTCCTCCTCCTGTTTTCCCCACAACCACAACCCTGTGAGGTGGGTTGGTCCAGTGGTGGGATTCAGCCGGTTTGCACCACTTCAGCAGAACTGGTAGCTAATTTTTTGCTGCCCAGGCCCAGAACGGACTTCCGGAAGTGGAATCCACACAGAGAACCGGTGGTTCACCTATTTGAATCCCACCACTGGGTTGGCCTGAAAGAGAAAGATTGGCCCAAAGTCACCCAGGCCTAAGGCGGGACTAGAACTCTCAGTCTCCTGGTGATTGGCCCAAAGTCACCCAGCCGGCTTTCATACCTAAGGCGGGACTAGAACTCTCAGTCTCCTGGTGATTGGCCCAAAGTCACCCAGCTGGCTTTCAGGCCTAAGGCGGGACTAGAACTCTCAGTCTCCTGGTGATTGGCCCAAAGTCACCCAGCCGGCTTTCAGGCCTAAGGCGGGACTAGAACTCTCAGTCTCCTGGTGATTGGCCCAAAGTCACCCAGCCGGCTTTCATGCCTAAGGCGGGACTAGAACTCACAGTCGCCTGGTGGCTTTCATGCCTAAGGCGGGACTAGAACTCTCAGTCTCCTGGTGATTGGCCCAAAGTCACCCAGCCGGCTTTCAGGCCTAAGGCGGGACTAGAACTCTCAGTCTCCTGGTGATTGGCCCAAAGTCACCCAGCCAGCTTTCAGGCCTAAGGCGGGACTAGAACTCTCAGTCTCCTGGTGATTGGCCCAAAGTCACCCAGCCGGCTTTCATGCCTAAGGCGGGACTAGAACTCTCAGTCTCCTGGTGATTGGCCCAAAGTCACCCAGCCGGCTTTCATGCCTAAGGCGGGACTAGAACTCTCAGTCTCCTGGTGATTGGCCCAAAGTCACCCAGCCGGCTTTCAGGCCTAAGGCGGGACTAGAACTCTCAGTCTCCTGGTGATTGGCCCAAAGTCACCCAGCCGGCTTTCATGCCTAAGGCGGGACTAGAACTCACAGTCGCCTGGTGGCTTTCATGCCTAAGGCGGGACTAGAACTCTCAGTCTCCTGGTGATTGGCCCAAAGTCACCCAGCCGGCTTTCAGGCCTAAGGCGGGACTAGAACTCTCAGTCTCCTGGTGATTGGCCCAAAGTCACCCAGCCAGCTTTCAGGCCTAAGGCGGGACTAGAACTCTCAGTCTCCTGGTGATTGGCCCAAAGTCACCCAGCCGGCTTTCATGCCCAAGGCGGGATTAGAACTCTCAGTCTCCTGGTGATTGGCCCAAAGTCACCCAGCCGGCTTTCAGGCCTAAGGCGGGACTAGAACTCTCAGTCTCCTGGTGATTGGCCCAAATTCACCCAGCTGGCTTTCAGGCCTACGAAGAGAGCTGAGCCACCGTTGCTGGCCAGGGAGGCAAATGAGGGTCCTTCCTTCTCCTTACCCATGTCTTAAGGCCAGCTTCACAAACCCCTTGCGGTGCTTCAGCGTCACAGAGTTTTTTCCCGGGGTACAGTTCAAAGACTCCGCCGCGCCCCCCACCACAATGACGACCGCGTTGCCGATGCCGTTTTGGGACAGGAGGTAGTCTATGGTGTTGCGGTTCACGGGGCAGAGACCTGGACGTGAAGAGAGAGAGAGACAAAGAACCTTTAGGGGCAAGAAAATGGAAACAAAGACAGTCCTCCATTTACAACCGTTCCTTTAGTGACCCCTGACCCTTTTTCACCCTTACGACCATTGCAACGTGCAAAGGTCACGTGATCAAAATTCAGACATTTTGCAATCGGCTCATATTTAGGACGGTCGCCGTGTCCCGGGGTCATTCGGTCATTTTTTGCAACCTTTTTACAAGCAAAAGTCAAGGGGGGGGAGGGAAGCCAGATTCACTTAACAACCGTGTTACTCGCCTAACAACGGCAGCGATTCTCTTAACAGCTGCAGCAAGGGAGGCTGTAAAATGGGGCAAAACTCACAGGAGTTTCTGATCGTGTGGCCACGGGAGTGCAGCGGTGGCCGTGAGTGTGAAAAATGGTCCTAAGTCCCTTTTTTTTTTCCAGTGCTGTCACTTTGAACGGTCACTAAATGAATTAAATCAGTTTCCCTCTCCTTGGCTTTTGGAGGATCAGCCAAGGAGAGCAAGTGCTGCCATCTACTGCAGCATTAACGACATTACAGGGCATTTTCTAAGTTTATTAAGAAAAACAATCTCTCTCTCTCTCTCTCTCTCTCTCTCTCTCAATTGGTGCTCAACTGAAGATGTTACCTAGTTGGGTAATGAAACTTCCGCAAGAAAACAATCAAGCTCAGAGAGCACCAAGGACCATGCAGTCATTGTTCTCCTCCTCCTCCTCCTCCTCCTCCTCCTCCTCCTCCTCCACCTCCTCCTCCTCCTCCTCCAATGTCACACTCCCTTCTACCATTGATGATGTTACCTAGTTGGGTCATGAAATGTTTACAAGAAAACAGCCAAGCTCAGAGAGCACCAAGGATCCCACAGTCTTCCTCCTCCTCCTCCTCCTCCTCCTCCTCCTCCTCCTCCTCCAATCTCACTCCCTTCTAGCACTGATGATGTTACCTAGTTGGGTCAGGAAATGTCTTCAAGAAGACAACCAGGCTCAGAGAGCACCAAGGATCTCAGTCTTTTTCCTCCTCCTCCTCCTCCTCCTCCTTCTCCCCCTCCTCCTCCTCCTCCTCCTCCTCCTCCGCAAACCCTACTCCCTTCTAGCACTGAGGATGTTACCTAGTTGGGTCACGAAACGTCTTCAGGAAATCAACCCAGTTCAGAGAGCAACAAGAACTCCCAACTATCCATGTAGTAACCAAATGGTTGTGCCACCCTTTTTCTGGAAATTGATTTTTCTTTTTCTTGCTTTTAAGTCTTTCTACTGTCTAACCATCCCAAAACTCTTTTGCTCTACTGTCTTCCTGAGAACAACCAAGATCGGCTAGTTATCGGTGTACATTTTTTCTTCTCCCCCCCCTCAACCCCTGTTACAAAGATTAAACATTACACCGCTTTTCAGAAAGTTACAAGTTCCACGCTTTAAAACGGGGTGCCCAAACCTGGGCAACTTTTAAGGCCTGTGGGGACTTCAGCTCTGGCTGAAGGAATTCTCGGAGTTGAAGTCCACAGGTCTTAAAGTTGCCAGGGTTGGGGACCCCTGTCTTAGGAGATCCAACACATTCAAGATGTCAACGCTGCTAACATAGGATGTTTTTGCTTTGACAACAGATGGAGAAGCAACCCTTTTCTTCTTATGTTTTACTCTTAGAGTTAGAGCTAGAGTTAGATGATGCTGGGGGGAGGAATGTGCATGAAAGTTTAGCTCAGTGTTTCTCAACCTTGACAATTTTAAGGTATGTGGACTTCAACTCCCAGAATTCCACAGCCAGCAATGCTGGCTGTGGAATTCTGGGAATTGAAGTCCACATGCCTTAAAATTGTCAAGGTTGAGAAACACTGGTTTAGCTAGACATAACAATGCTGAACCTAGTGTGAGACCCAAGGTTATTGAAATAAGAGATGATAAGAATTGGCCGGGCTGGAGAGCTGGAGGGAAAGCCCACATTTCAAACTAATTGGGGAATGTGATTTATGACAATTAATTAGAGGAGGGAATTGTGCTTTGATGCTATGTGCTCAGGGGAGGGGAATTCAGATTTTGGCTTTGCCTATGTACCTGGCGATGCTATGCTACTCCAAAAAAGATTCTTTAAGGCAGGGCTTTTCAACCAGTGGTACGGGTACCACCTGTGGTACATTGGCACCTGGCAGGTGGTACGTGACCATCCTACAAAAGTAGTAGCGGGGGAGGGGAATGAGCTGAACTGATGGCAGAGCGAGAGACGGCCTGAGCGAGAGATGGCTGGAGCTGCAGGGCTGCCAGGGTTCAGCGGAAGCGCCAGGATCAGCACCAGGCTCCAGCTGGAGCTCGGCGCTGATCCTGGCACTTCTGCTGAGCCCTGAAGAAGCACCAATCAGCTGGAACGTTGCAGCCTCTCCAGGGTCTTGTGATTTACATTCAGATGCTTGGCCACTGATTCATATTTATGACAGTCACAGTGTCCCAGGGTCATGTGAAGTGACCAAAACCTGCTGCAACCACCCAGCAGACGGGGGGAATAAAAACCCCCCACCCCACCCCTGCTGCCAATCCTCAACAGACATGCTCACAACAATGAAAACCTCGGACAGGAGGAAGAGCGCCGCCGGGCGGGAAGGCGGGTGTCTTGCTCGGCTGTGCCTTGGGGGGCACTTTTTTCAGGGCCATTGTAACTTCGAACAGTCACTCAGCGAACTGTTATAAGTTGAGGACTACCTGTTACTTTATCACTTTTTCCCCCTTTTTTTATCATCAAGTTTTTGACGCCTTGCTAGGCGACTGGGGGGGGGGTACTCGGATGCCGCCATCACCTAAAAGTGGCACAAGGGGTGAAAAGGTTGAAAAGCCCTGCTTTAAGGTAAACAAGGCCTCGCAGTTCTTTGAAGAGTTTTCATCTGTCGGAAGCAGGACACCAAAGGGTTTTCTCTTCCCGAGACAAATCTGCATCGCTAGACGACACGAAGCGGGCTCTCCTTCCTTACCTCCAGTCATCAAGTAGTCCCTCAAAATGGGCCACCTGAAGTTTCCCGTGAGCGTGGTGACGTACGGACATATCCCAGGGAAGATCTGGCTGACTCCTGTGGCCTCCGTGCTAAAATTGCAGAACGCACCCAGGGACATGATGCCATGGGGGTGGTAGCCAAGGATGTAATTCCTGTTGGGGGCCAGGTTGTGAGTTTTGATCATCTGGGGAAGGAGAGAAGGAAAGGGGGGGGGGAAAGCAGGGTTAAATGGAAACACACACACACACACACACACACACACACGCGAACACACAGACACATACCGTGTTTCCCCCCGATAATTAAGACCCAACCAGAAAATAAAATCCCTAGCGCAGTGATGGCAAGCCTTTTAGAGACCGAGTGCCCAAACTGCAACCGAAAACCCACTTATGCATTGTCGGGTGCCGGGTGGGTGTAGCCCATTGGCTGGGTGTGGCCCATTGGGTGTGGCTTATTGGCTGGGTGTGGCCCATTGGGTGTGGCCCATTGGCTGGGCGTGGCCCATTGGGTGTGGCTCATTGGCTGGGCGTGGCCCATTGGGTGTGGCTCATTGGCTGGGTGTGGCCCATTGGGTGTGGCTCATTGGCTGGGCGTGGCCCATTGGGTGTGGCTCATTGGCTGGGTGTGGCCCATTGGGTGTGGCTCATTGGCTGGGCGTGGCTGCAGTGGTAACGGCAGACTGGGTGGGATTAAAAAGTTCAGTCAATCAACTCCCACTTTGCGAGATCTTTTTTTTCCTGCGAGAAGTTGAAATTTATTTATTTATTTATTTATTTATGAGACTTATATACCGCTTTAAGTGCAAGCACTCTCTAAGCGGTGTACACCAGTAAGCAATGTATATGTATGTATATATATATATATATATATATATATATATATATATATATATATATATATATTTACATTGCCCCAACAATCTGGGTCCTCATTTTACCTACCCCGGAAGGATGGAAGGCTGAGTCAACCCTGAGCCGGTGAGATTTGAACCGCTGACCTGCTGAACACAGTCAGCTAAAGTGGCCTGCAGTACTACACCCTAACTGCTGCGCCACCTCGGCTCATAAATTGACTGATTGATTGAACCTTTTTTTTTTTTTTTGCACACGGCGGTGGAGGCCTAAAGCGAAAAGGTTTTATAAAACCCAGCTGAAGGCCTAGGACTGGGGCGACGGCGCGCGTGCCCACAGAGGGGGCTCTGAGTGCCGCCTCTGGCACCCGTGCCATGGGTTCACCACCACTGCCCTAGCGTGATTTTTCAGGACGCTCGTAATAAAGCAGCTAGTGTGAACTCTATCTAGAGATGTGGGGTTGGCTGTTCATGGCTGACATGCTCCGAATAAAAGCAACTTATATTCTGTGTAATCTTCTCACGGCGTCACTGTTGAATAAAATGTTCATTTGTTTATATCGCCATCAACTGCCCACTTGTACTTAAGTACCAGCTGGCTCATACAGTACTTAAGTACTTGGCCACCAGAACACCCAGATCCCTCTCGCATAAAAACCAAACACCTCCCCCCACCCCACCTGCGCTGCCAATCCTCAACAGAAATGCTCACAACAATGAAAACCTCAGACAGGAGGAAGAGCACGGCCGGGCGGGCAGGCAGGTGTCTTGCTCGGCTGTGCCTTGGGGGGCACTTTTTTCAATGCCATTGTAACTTCTAAGAGTTACTAAGCGAAGTGTTGTAAGTCGAGGACTACCTGTACTTATCACTTTTTTCCTTTTTTTTTTTTTTGTTCATCAAATTTTTGACACCTTGCTAGGCGATTGGTGGTACTCAGATGTTGCCATATCCTAAAAATGGCACAATGGGTGAAAAGGTTGAAAAGCCCTGCTCTAGGACTTCAAGTTCCTCTCACAGTTGCTACTATTGATCTAGGTACCACCTATTCTGTACCTGTGCATTTGGGTTTTTTTTGCCTTTGTGTAGGACAGTGGTTCTCAACCTTTTTAATGCCGCGACCCCCCAACCGGTTGTAAGTCGAGGACTACTCAACCGGTCATAAGTTGAGGACTACTCAACTGGTGCAGCACCGTTTGCAGACTGGGACTTTTGGCGGGCTCAGCAGGGCAGAGACAGCCTGGACAATTCCTATTGGCTTTTGAAAGCCAATAGAATTAGACTCTATTCAAGAGAGTCTGTTCTATTGGCTTTCAAAAGCCAATAGAATAAAAGGGAGTAGCACAGCTAAGGAAAAGGGGGGGGAAATGGCGGACTGGGTTGTTTGGCGACCCCCGTGAAATGGTCGTTCGACTCCAAATGGGGTCCCGACCCACAGGTTGAGAACCACTGGTGTAGGATCTTACATTTCTCACCTCTGAACTGCATATTTTATGTTCATTTGACATTCATTTCTTGGTCTCTAAGGGAAAGCTACCGTAAATGCTGGCGTATAAGACGACTTCCGCAAGCGCTGAAATCGGCGCCAAAGACGGGGGTCGTCTTATACGCCGAGTCGTCTTATACGCTGGAAATACTGGTAGTTTCCGGCGTATAAGATGACATTCTAGGAATGCGGCCCGGCTATAAAGACGGGGGTCGTCTTATACGCCGGGTCGCCTTGTACGCCGGCATTTACGGTACTTCTAATCCAACAAAACGGGTTCATCGCCTGGGAAAGCCCAGGGAAATCATCGAAACAATTAAAAAACGAAAATTAGAATATTTCGGCCATGTGATGCGACACCCAGAAAAATACGGCATACTCCATTTAATCCTCCAGGGAAAGATGGAAGGCAAACGAGGTCCAGGCAGAAGAAGAACATCGTGGCTTCAAAATCTAAGGGACCGGTTTGGACAAAACTCAGCAGCACTTTTTTGTGCGGCTGCTGATAAAAACAGGATCACCAACATGATCGCCAACATCGCCTAACAGATATGGCACAAGAAGAAGTATGAGAATGTCATCCCTTCTTCCTCTGAACGAAGGAGTTAAGCTAACACTCCAGCACCTGACCTAGTTTTTCAAGCAAGTAGGATCTCTTTTGAAGGAAAGGAAGAAAGAAGGGATCTAAACCACAGCATAGCAAGGTGATCTCGTTCAGATCACTCCATTTACAAAGCTTCAGAATTCACAAGGATCTCGGATTTCACCTCTCAGCTACTGGAGCTTAAATGCCAGTAAAAGGAAAAACCCCAAACCAAACCAAACTGGATGAACTGGTTGGCTTTTCCACCTTCTGTTACACTAAAGGAAAGACCCCCCCCCCCCGCTCTGTCGGATTTATTCTTTACAATTTGTTCAACTAGATCTCCGCGATTATTCTTATTTAAATATCCATGTTGTCCTGCCAAAAAGCCTTCAAATCATGGAGGCATTTGAAGGCATCTTAATTTGTCTTATAACCCTGCAAGCAGAGATTTTTACCAGCAAACCTAGAGAGCAACTGGGTTCACCAGGAGAGGGTGAATTCTAGTCCTGCCTTAGGCACGAAAGCCAGGTTGGGTGACACTGAGCCAATCACCAGGAGACTGTGAGTTCTAGTCCCGCCTTAGACATGAAAGATAGCTGGGTGACTTTGAGCCAATCACCAGCCGACGGTGAGTTCTAGTCCTGCCTTAGCCATGCAAGCCAACTGGGTGACTTTGGGCCAATCATCAGGAAAGGATGAGTTCTAGTCCTGCCTTAGGCATGAAAGCCAGCTGACTGGCTTTTTGGGCCAATCACCAGGCGACGGTGAATTCTAGTCCCACATTAGGCACACGAAAGCCAGCTGAGGGACTTTCGGCCAATCGCCAGGAGACAGTCAGTTCTAGTCCTGCCTTAGGCGTGAAAGCCAGCTGGCTGATTTTGGGCCAATCACCAGGAGATGGTGAATTCTAGCCCTGCTGTATTATTATATTATATTATATCATTATATTATTTTATATTATATCATTATATCATTATATTATATATTATATTATATTATATTATTATATTATGTTATATATTAATTACATTACATTACTTACTATACTATACTATTATATATTATATTAATATTACATTACTATACTATATCATACTATACTGTACTGTATTATACTATACTATACTATTATATATTATATTAATTATATAATAATAATAATAATGTTGGAAGGGACCTTGAAGGTCATCAAGTCCAACCCCCTGCTCAGGCAGGTAACCCTATACCATTTTGGACAAATGGCTTTCCAGTTTCTTCTTAAAAACTTCCAGTGTTGGAGCATTCACCACTTCTGGAGGCAGGTTAGTAACAGTAATAGTAGTAAAGTTGGAAGGTACCTTGGAGGTCATCTAGTCCAACCCCCTGCTCGGGCAGGAAACCCTACACCATTTCGGACAAGTGGCTGTCCAGTCTCTTCTTAAAAACTTCCAGTGTTGGAGCATTTACTGCTTCTGGAGGCAGGCTGTTCCACTGATTAATTGTTCTCACTGTCAGGAAGTTTCTCCTTAGTTCTAGGTTGCTTCTCTCCTTGATTAGTTTCCACCCGTTGCTTCTTGTCCTGCCTTCAGGTGCTTTGGAAAATAGCTTAATTCCCTCTTCTTTATGGCAGCCCCTGAGATATTGGAATACTGCTATCATGTCCCCCCTTGTCCTTCTCTTCGTTAAACTAGACATACCCAATTCTAGCAACCGTTCCTTATATGTTTTAGCCTCCAGTCCCCTAATCATCTTTGTTGCTCTTCTCTGTACTCTTTCTAGAGTCTCAACATCTTTTTTACATCGTGGTGACCAAAACTGGATGCAGTATTCCAAGTGTGGCCTTACCAAGGCATTGAAGAGTGGTATTAATACTTCACGTGATCTTGATTCTATCCCTCTGTTAATGCAGCCTAGCACTGTGTTGGCCTTTTTGGCAGCTGCAGCACACTGCTGGCTGATATTTAGGTGATTGTCTACTAGGACTCCGAGGTCCCTCTCACAGTTACTACTATTGAGCATGGTGCCACCTATGCTGTACTTGTGCATTTGGTTTTTCTTGCCTAAATGTAGAACCTTGCTTTTTTCACCATTGAATTTCATTTTGTTAGTTAGTGCCCAGTGTTCAAGTCTGTCCAGATCCTTCTGTATCTTAAGCCTGTCTTCTGGAGTGTTGGCTATTCCTGCCAGCTTGGTGTCGTCTGCAAATTTGATGAGTTCCCCATCTATCCCTTCATCCAAATCGTTGATGAAGATGTTGAAGAGTACTGGGCCCAGAACAGAGC